GGATAGATGGGCAAGAAAATAATAAAATAAAATAAAATAAAATAAAAGGGGTAAAGAAAGATGATAAAAACATCACGGATTGCTCCCGTTGCCTTTTTTATGCGATCCCTTTTTCTTCTGGAGAGTATCATAGAGGTATATATGAGATGGAAACTGGATGACCGGAAAAGGGCGGTGAGAGCTTGAAGTTCGGAGCGTGTAGGGGAACTTGGACGTAAAGATGTTGGTGGGATATTTCGGGTATTGAGAGCTCACTTCTCTCAAAGGATAGGAACCAGTGCTCTTTTTTTAATTGGAATTAAGAGGCGATGAAGAAGATGGACTGACTCCCGTCCGTCAGGGGGGGGGGGGGAGGGCAATCATACTTTTTTTAAATTTTTTTTTTTTTTTTTTTTGGGGGGGGGGAGGGGTGGGAGGGGTTGTTTTCCTTTTCATCTCTTGTGAGCGGTCTGAAATGCAGAGGTTTGTTGGACTAACCGTGATTTGAAAGACCCGCCTGGCTGCAGGTTCTCAAGCTTTAGAAAGATGCGGCTGTTGTTTTGCTGTTGTGTTAGCCCAGCTTCCTTTTTGAAACTATACTATTTTGAAGAAGAACGCCACGGATCCCGTCATCGTGTTTTCTGCAGGGAAGTCGACTAGAGAGAGGTTGTGGTGGAAGAGACGTAGGGGGCTATACGTACCATCCTGCTGCCTTCGACAGTGGTTCCGACTCAACCAGAGGCGTCTCTCTCCACGGCCTTGATTGTGATTTTGGATATGCTGTTCTGGTCTGTAGTTCCTGATCCATTGGCTCCTCGTAACTCCCCATCTGGGGGGGGGGGGGGGGGGGTTGGGAGGATATCTTGGTCTTTTGCTCCTTTTCAATAATGAATAGCAGACTGAAAATGAGAAATGCCCGCGAATTACACAATATGAATTAGATGGTTTGATGATTTATATACAAGCGGTCGTAGGAACGGAGAAGGGGGGGGGGATAAGATCGGGGAGAATACATATATATACCTGTTGAAAGGGTCAGCCTAGACACACCGGGTTCCGATAACGTCAAGACTAGGGAAGAGTCGCAGGGCATCCCCCGTCACGGGCCTGGAATTGGGTAAGGTTCCACTCCTACGGAGTTGCATCTATGACATCGTTACCCCGAGAGCAGGTAACACATGAATCTTTATTTAGACTTACAATGGTACCTGGAGCCAAGAACTTCAGATAAAGAAAAACCTTGGGCGTTTTGTTTTGTTTTGTATTGTTTTTTTATTATTTTTTTTATTTTGTTTGTATATATATATATATATATTTCTTAGGGCTCCAAACTATATGAAGACAAGGTTTCTCCACCGGCAAACCACCCCCTAAAACAGATTTGGGGGTGTTGGGGGGGGAAGAATTCAGCAGGAGTGGCGGGCGGGAAGGGCAGAGGATCAGAAAAACCAGGCAAATATGCAGTTTCGGTTTTCTATAGGGTAACAAATTGCTCAGGGGAGAGGGGGGGGGAGGGGGATCGTGCGGGAGACGAAAAGCTGCACCTGCAGCTTGTACCTTGCATATGTTCATACCCGTTGGAGTGTCGGGGGGGGTAAGAGAAGAGCGGGGAGGGAATGGGCAATTGGGGGGAGGAATGGGGGGGGGGGGGTTTGGTTCAGGGGGGGGGGTTTGGTTCAAGGGCGGGGCTGGTTTAGGGCTGCTGGTCAAGGGCTGGTCAAGGGCTGGTCAAGGGCTGGTTAGGGCTGGTCAGGGCTGGTTAGGGCTGGTTAGGGCTGGTTAGGGTTGGGTTAGGGTTGGTCACCCAATGAGCAGAGGCGTGATGAAACCCCCCCTCCGCAGATCGGACGCGGTTTGTTGGCCGTTTGCCTTAGGACGGGACGGTTTGGGCGAGGGAGTTTCCCGAGGCGGCTAGCCAGGTTTCCCGCGGAAAGCTACAGCTCGGCAAATTGCGACTTTGGCCCAAGCAAGCTGTAAAGTTTCCCGAAGATCCACCCGATATCGCAGCTAAGACCGGTATAACTATAGAAAAGATGATTCCAAATCACGCGTATTTTGGGTGGGTGGGTGCGCTATATTTGGGAGGGCCCGGGGGGATGGTTTTCGTGTGTGGTAGAGTCGGCAGCGGTTGATGTTGATGATGATGATGGCTGGCAACGTGACCGCGTTCTCTCAGCATGCTTGTGCTATTTCCGATTGAAACTTTATATAGATGGCGTAAGGTATGTACCATGTAAGTAATAAATAAGTAAGTGAGAAGAAGTAAGAAAGTAAGAAGAAGTAAGTGAGAATTAAGAAGTGCGTAATGTATGTATGTATGTATGTATGTATGTATGTATGTATGTATGTATGTATGTATGTATGGATGGATGGATGGATGTAAATGTATACAGCATCTAGGTATCTAGTACGGACAGCAAGGGATGCAACAACGATCTAAACCACGAGAATGAACAACCAAAGTAATGCCAAAGATCCTCCACGCCCATGACAGAAGCCTGGAACTAGTCTACTAGAATTACACATCACCTCCCTCGTGTCAACTATTTCGGGATCGACAGGAGAGCTCCAGCTCCTGCGAACATCAGAGAGATAAAAGAAATAAATAAATAAAATAAATAAATAAATAAATAAAAGAACGAGGAAAGCAAGGAAACAGGAAAACAAAACAAAAAGAAGAGACATTTGTTCGTGTACGCGTTGCGCGCATCGCATGATGTTGAACACACCAAGGGCAAAACGCCAAGCCGGAGAAATCCAGAACAACAGCCGGGAAAAGAGTTTCCATCCCGCTCCCCCTTCGTCTCCACCGACCTGAACAAACATCCAACCGCTTTTGCTTTCCGGCACGCCCTTTTTCCTCACCGAACCCACACTCCTCCCTCACCGAACCCACACGCCTTCCCCCCCCCCCCCCCCCCCCCCTAGGTCGATCCGCTCCTCACTGCTCGCTTATCAGCGGCGGGAACAACGTACCGGTCGTGCCATGCTTAAGATCCACAAGGGGGACGCCGTAATCCAGATCCCTGCCGAACTTGGCGGCGTCGAAATTGCGTTTTTCGGCCGCCCTTGCAACTCCTAGCATGTCCAGCAGCTCTGAGGATTTCTGGGGCATGAATGGCTGCAGGAGTATGCCTGCAATGCGGAGAGACTCGGCGGTGCTGTAGATGACACTGTTCAGCATGACGACGTTGGACATGGCCAGGATCCAAGGTTTCATTTGGTGGAAATATTTGTTGGTCTGGAGGCCGGATGCGTTAGCAAATATTTCCCCCATTTTGAAAGCAAACAGTGTTTTTTTTTTTTTTTTTTTTTTTTTTTTGCCTCTTGTGCCTCACCTGAATTATGATTTCCATGATGCTGTTCAGCGCCTTACGTGGGTCCAGCTGCCTCATCTCATCCCTGGCCTTCTCCGGGATCGACTCGAGGAAATCCTGATGCTCCGTCCTCGGAAACCGCCCTTCCCCGGCCATGACAACACTACTCCGCACAATCCACTTCTTACCCCGCAGCACACGGCTAGCAAGATTCCCAAGGCCCCGTTGCAGGCCCTTCTTGTACCTCTCGACGATATATGAGTTTTCGTAACCGGAATCGGAAACCTGGGCGCCATCGATGACGAGAAAGAAGCGCACCGTATCAACGCCAAAACGCTCAATGGCAAAGTATGGGTTGACGACGTTGCCCGTCGACTTGGACATCTTCTCATTGTTGATCGTCCAATGAGCGTGCGCCATGATTTGGCGAGGCAGCGGGAGGCCCAATGCCATCAGGAACGCCGGCCAATAAATGCAGTGGAATCTGGTCGGCCCTCGTTAGCTGGAAGGAGGATGTGACGGTGGAGGATAATATATGGATATATATATATATACTTACCGTAAAATATCCTTTCCAACCACCTGCACGTCTGCTGGCCATATCGACTTAGCGTCGGGAGGAAAGGGGTATCCGGCATAGGTGATATAGTTAACCAGGGCATCCAACCAAACATAGATAACCTGCGACTCGTCGTAAGGCACCGGAATCCCCCAATTTAGCCGACTGGCGGGCCGTGAAATCGATAGATCTTGTAATCCTGCCGAGATAGCGTTCATCATGTCATCCATATAGTGCTTGGGTGTAATGAAGTTGGGATGGTTCCTGTAATGTTCAAGCAGCGGCTCCTTAAAAGCAGAGAGCCGGAAATGGTAATTCTCCTCGGACGTCCATTGCACTTCTTTCCCTGTTTCTATGGACGCCTGGAAAGAGGGGGGGGGGGGGGGGGAAGTGTGTCAGCAGGGGAAGATTCCAAGGGGTCGTCGATAAGGAAGACCATACAATTATTTTCCGGCCAGTTGAGGGGTCAAGGATAGGCTGGACAGCGGACGGAGGATAGAAAGCCTCGTCACTGACGGAATACCAGCCTTCATGTTTAGCTGTATATATATAGCCGCGATGGTTGAGCATATCCTAATGAAAACATCAACGTACTTATCCTTCATATGGAGATTCCATACACAGCCCTCCACATACCCAAAAATACCGTACGGCATCCTTATGCTGAGGATCCGTAGTTCTTATAAAGTGATCATAGTTCACGTTGACGGTTCTGGCAAGATTCTTGAATTTGTCACCCCACAAAATCCGTGCTGCAGTTCCTTCACATGGCGTCTTTAGGGGGGATCATCGACATACCTTGAATGTCTGGCAGTTCTGATCGCAGAGCTCCTGGGGGGCCATCCCAGCCACAGCAGCCGCCTGTTGAATCTATAAACACTTAGCACTCAACAAAACCTTTCCCAAACAACGCCCGTTGCCCATTTATCCCAATCGTACCTTCAAACCATGTTCATCCGTCCCTGTAAGGAGCTTCGCATCCGTGTCACCCAACAGAATCTGCCATCGTTTCAGAACATCCCCAAGTATCATGGTATACAAATGTCCGACATGGGGAGCTATGGAGCAGAGAAAGACCAGTCAGCATCCTCCACGCATCAATTGAATTTACATAAAAATTGGGGGGGGGGGGAAGGAATAAGACAAAATCTCACCCGCATTCACATAGAATATAGGTGTGGTAATGTAGAATGGCTTCTTGTCGCCAACCTGCGGAGCGCTGCTCATTGCGCGCCGCGATTCTCTCCGAACAACAGCGTTTCTGCATGGCGGACAGATCCAAAGGTCGCCTGCCCGTGGACCTGATAAGCCATGCTGCTCTGGAAACAGCGCGAAGCTCAATTTCCGGCATGGTTGTCCGAGCCGTGCAGGTTATTTACCGCTTACGTCGCAAACTGGACAGCACAATTTGGGCGGGGAATAAAAAAATATATATAAAAAAAAGGAGCTAATGTGGTCCAAGCTTTTTGCGAAGTGGCACCGCAACTCCACCAAAACCGATCTTGTTGCAACCCACGGTTTTTTTTTTTTTTTTTTTTTTT